GGTGCGAAACGAAGCCGTTAAAACTGCCGTCACTGCCGGGCCCTGTGGTGTGGTGTCCCGTCCTGTCACTGCAGCCGCCATCAGTAAGAACGCGTCCTGGGAGCAGGTCAGGAGGGAAACGGCAGCATCTCTTCTTCCCTCTCTGGAGAACAACCCCCTTTTCCCAAACTTCTGCATCTGCTGTACTTCAGCTTTCACGATCTAGGTCTTTGTAGGCTTGCCTTTATCAGGGCTGTGTAGCTTAGTCTAGGTAGAACCCTAACGTTTAAGAGTGAGACGCCAGTGTGTTCGTTGTAAGGGCTCTGTTTATGGTGTTACCAGGGTGCACACGAGGTTCTAACTGCTGATTTTTGGAGGGTCTCTGTGCCTAAGCCTAGGCTTTTGCACGTGCGCTTGCGCATCTGGCCTTACCAGACTGCCCAGGGAGATGCTCCTCTCGGTTGCTGAGCCTGTAGGTGAGAGTCTGGAATCACTAGTCCAGGTGCTGGTGGTGGGAGAGAGAGGGAGCAACAGCTGCTGCTCTATCTTGGTAATTAACTCTTGGAGAAATATAAGTAGTTATGCTTCTTGAGTGATGTAAGTTCTTCACTAAACAATTGTAAAACGTCATTTTGCAATAGCTTCACAGGCACACCTGCTTTTGAAATGAACTTAGTAACATAACTTAACTTAGAATGTCTTTAAGCTGACAGAATGTCAAGGAGCTGTCATGCATTTCAGAAATCTGCAGGAGAATGATGATGTTAAATGAATAAATGCTGTCACAAACTCAAACAGTAAAACATTGTCAAGTAACTGGTGTGTAAAGAAAAATGAAAATGACTTTGCTGATTTTTTTTTATTATTATTATTTTTATTATTGTTACTAACCCAGCTAAGAGAAATGCAGAAAGTTCATACACTGGGTTTTCACTAAATTCTTTGGTATGCTTTTTACATGTTAGCATGTAAGGACTATCTGTTTGGATTTTTAAGAGTGATTATTTCATAAGAAGTACCTGTCTACAATTATTGAATACAGATCCCATTTTGTTTATACTTTTGCCCAGCAATATCAAGACATTAAAATTAGTTTTAGAAATATACTTACTACAATTTCTATCTACAACATACTTAATATATTTTTCAAATATATTTTCAGAAAATTTCTTGGATATATAAACCATAAAAAAATCCAGGCCACTAACAGGAACTGTGAAGTGACTGCTGATGTGAGGCATGATGGGTCTGAACCACTTGTGGATGTTCTGTTTGGTAAGGAGCTCATTTTTAATCTTGACCAAAAAAAAAAAAAAGATCTTCTGGGTTTGTATTGTTCCAGTGTTATTGTCTTCTCTATGATTTTTTTAACCATGGTTACTTTTTTTTTTAGTTCTAGTTCACAGCTAGTTGTGCAGCTGGGGTGAAAAAAAGGAAGAGGGAGTCACTACAGCCTGATGTCTAAATAAATGTGTATATATGTCTTTGTACTACCGTTAGATCTGGTAGATTTTAGATCAAGGAACTGACTTAACTTCAGGGTTGAGTCTAGCTTGCAGCCAGATACAATTCCAGGGGAGTTAGTATGGCTCTGTTTTGATATAAGAATCAATTAACTTTCTGTAATTTTTTATGTTATCTGTGGTGGAGGCATGTCAGTCTTGAGAAGAGAAAAGTTAAATCCCTTTAGTTGCTTATGCAACTGAATAACTTCGTATGCAGTTTGAAGGAACTGCTTGTATGGATAAGACCATACATGTGCAGATGGACTTGCAGAATGAGGTCAACTGATGTACAATGAATTTCTTGGTTTCTGTTGAGGGTATAGTGAGCAGGCAGGGAACTGATGGTGGAAATTTCATCAGTTCTGGAAGCGGCCCAGATTCTGTGCTGTGAACAGATGGCTCTAATCTGCTTTTGTCCTTTTCTCGGGATGCATCTTCTTTCCTGCTGTACTGTAATGGTCCAATATGTCATGTAGGCCATTAAAGTTTTCATTATTATTGATTCTTGCTCTATCCCCTTTTCTTTAAACTTCTGTATATTAGTTGAATTGGTGGAAATGTCAAGAGTGTTGAATATACTTCGCTTTGCTAAGGGAAGTCTAGTTATTTCGGTGTCAACTTTGCTTGTTTTTCCCTCCTCTGTTTCTCTGTCATTCATATCCTTGTCTCTAACTGGGATGTATTAAGACTTAAGCAGTGAAGCTTAATGTTTTTCACAGCATAAAACCAAAACAATTTATTTCACTAATGCCAAAAGCTACAGCTCTGAACTCTTTGTTTTCTACAAGCTGATTATTTTCCAATTGAAGAGTTTGCAGCCCTTGTAGTTGGCAACCATGGGGCTGGAACTTGGATGCAGTGCATGGTATTGCATTATATATGGGTTTGAGTATGGTTTTTGTATTTACAGATCTTGCAAAAAATAAATAATTAAATTAGTTACAATACTTCTACTGCCTCCTCCCTGTTTTAAAATAATGTGTTTCAGAGTTTTAGAAATCCTAGTGCTCTCTAATTTTTTTACATTATAACCACCACATTGTGTCAACCAATTCGTTGTTTTGGCTAAAGACTGAAGTTAAACAGACCATGCTGCTAAAATGCTGAGCCATGTGTGGAAATTATGCCTTCCAGTGCCTTCTGTGCCTTCTGTGAGATGACTTTGATGGCATAGTATGAGCCATTCTCATAAAATGTATGTTCTTCCTATAGGTATATGTAGACAAATGTTTCATATTTTTCAATAATGTGATACAGAAATGAAAATTACATGTGTATTGTGTGCAATTTAACATATTTGTTTGTTGGTGGTGCATAATCAGATTCCTGGTAAGTGGAGTATGTTTTAATCGGACAAGATGAACAAGGTATTTGGATTTATATATACAAAACAGAGCTGCACCCTAAAGTAATTATGACTTAGACTTTGTGACTTCTTAGGTTTTTTTTTCCTTTGCAGCTGATGGAGAGCGATTGATAATGAAAGGAGCCAACTTGACGACAATAGAAATGTTAACAGCATTGGGGACCAGATGTAATGCAAAAGAGCTCAAGGAAGAACAGAGAAGCAAGAAGAAGAGCTAATGAAGAGCAGAAAAACAACTGTGTTTGCATTTACATGTGTTAAAAACAGTAGGCTGCACAGAAGGCTTTTTTCCTGTGCAATAGAATCTGATAGAGAGACGGCCAAAACTCCCACCAGTTTAACGTACAGCAGAATGAACCATTTAAATGTTCCCTGTCTTCCACCTGAAGGAAAACACAGTGGGTCAACAGATCTCGTGACACTAGTGGGTCAGAGTGGCTTAAGATGCACGGATGCATCTTTCTGAGCAGCTGCCTCTGTCATCTGCATGTCAGACTAATATCACATGTATTTGCATATGAATGTGAATAATGCACATTAGCTATTAAATTAATATTACACTGAAGACAGATCTCTTTGTATATAATTTCCTACAAAATTTATATGCAGTGGAATGCAAAATATTGTTAGAATGGTTATTATTTTTGAAAATTATTAAATACAAAAATTTGAAGAAAACTTTGTAAATATTGATCTTTGGTTAGCTAAGGGACAGCAAGCTGCAAACACAAAGTGGGTTTTGTAATACTATGTTTATAATGCATCTGTTGCTAAGTCCCTACCATTTTCTTCCTGTCTCTTTCAATAAAGTGTGAAACTTGCTAAATGTAAATTTAGCTTAGCAATTACAGTAGCATGGGAATGGAACTGTGAACACACAGTAGAGCTACTCATACTGCATAAAAGTAGCAAAGTTTAGCTCAAAGGGAAAAGTTAGTTTTTTTGATAATTGGACAAAAGTGCTATCTTTGAAGTTCAATTTTGTAATATTTTTGTCACCCCTTCTCTGCAGTCTGTTTTTTTTTTTATTTTTTTATTTTTTAAATTAGGCCACCAACTCTTCCGAGTGGTTTCAGAGTGCTGAGCTCCTGAACCTGCTACTGAACTCCCTTCTAGTGGAGGAGATACAAGAACATCTGAAACTGTTTGAGAGGATTTTATATCCTGTCAGGATAGAAGCGTATCCTAGAAAGTGGACCAAATGAAATAAGGCTGTTCAAAGGATTCCTTTATTTTCTTCTTTTTTTCCCAGAAGAACATTGTATAGCATGACTTTACCTGAAGAAGCCTTACAAGGAAAACAAGAATTGTTCAAGTGGAAAAACACTGCAGCATTATTCATTCCCTCGTTAATCATGTATTCATATACTCAAAAGTCCTCCTGCTTTAACATAGCAGTGATTTTTGTTATTTTTTTGTTTATTTTTTTCTTTGAAGGTTTGTACAACGATGTCAGTGTGTAAAACTTCATGTTTAAATGTGCAGCACTTAGATCCATCTTAAATAATTAGCCATCTGTAAGTACTTCAAGAGTAAAACGGGGGCTTAGTACTATTAAATTTCTGTAGTGTTTATATTGGCCCAAGGATGGGGTTTATATTTATGAAAAGGAAGAAAAATGAAGATCCTAGTTCAGCTTTTCTATAACCAAAATAAATCCTCTCCACTGTTAGAATCAGAGCATCATTTCGGTTGGAAAAGACCTTTAAGATCATCAGCCAAAGAAGAAAGGTGTTTTGTTTTTCTTTACCCTTATGGATGTGTACCCTGATCTGTAAAGACATGCTCCTGGTGAAAGCACCTGGGAAGGTGCTTCCATGTAACCCGGAGATGCCCAGCCTTTTTGGTTAGGGTAGCCCAAAGGCCTGTGACATAGCTGTTGAGGGATGACTGACAGTGCAGCAGATGAGATGGTGGCTGATGCTGCTTTTGCTGTGTGCTGGTAGCTGCAATTTGCAGTGGTAAAAATCTGATATGTTTTATGCATGAAAAATAATTAATTGCTAGGATTTTAATATGTAAGGCATAAAGGAAAGCAAACAGGACAAAAAAAAAAGCTAAAAATGTGCATTCTCAAGACTGCAAAATACTGAAGTGATGCAAACAAGCAATATGGGCAGGAGGTACTCCTCTGGTGATTATTATGCTAATATGTAGCAAATTGCTCTCCCTGTACCACATAGATAAAGGTAAAAAATTATTTTTCAAGTGTGTTAAAGATAATCTTTAATGAATTTCTTCTCTAAACATGTAGATAACTTTGCTGCAAGCTGTTCATACAATACTAATTTCTTCTGCTGTCTGATTGAAACAAAGCTGAGCGACCTGCTGCTCTGACATCTTCCTGACATGCACAGTCCAGGGCTGTGGATGTAGAGGGTATTAAGGTCACTCATGCAGAAAGAAGCGGGGCTGGGTGAGCATTGACTTTGCATGTTATTATGCTGTAGCCCACTAATCTTGATTACTATACTCCACCAAAAATGTGAGCATTTGCCTGAATATAAAAGGAACTGGAAGAGGCCCTAAAACCACGAGGATTAACTAAATGCAAACACATCCATGTAGGGTGTCTGATAGCAAGTGATGACATTAAAATATCTATATCTCTAATACCTGGAGCTTTAAAACAATGATTAGAATAATCTTAGACCTGTTTATCATACAAATACCTTTTTATTTAGAAGTTCTTGTCAACGTGTAAGGAAAATAGTCCTGAAACAGATGAATGTGCCATTCAGGTAACACTAGCTGGTCAGGATACTCCCTTTTTAAATATCTGCAGCATTGTTTTTAGAAAAAGATAATGGTGTCTTTATTGAAGATTTGAACTGGGAGCAGCAGTGTTAGTGAACATTTCCACAGCACGTTTTAACTGCTAGCTGGCCCAAATAAGTACAAAATTGCAATGTCCTGATACCTTGCAAGGTGGAAACAAGTAGAAACATGCTTTCAGAGGTAGTTCATGCATGCTGGTACACATTGTTCTTTGTTCACAGAATCGCAGGGGTTGGAAGGGATCTCAGGAGATCATCTAGTCCAACCCCCCTGCCAGAGCAGGATCCCCACAGCAGGTTGCACAGGACTGCATCCAGGTGGGTTTTGAACATCTCCAGAGATGGAGACTCCACAACCTCTCTGGGCAGCCTGTCCCAGTGCTCCAGTACCCTTACAGTAAAGAAGTTTATTTTTTTGTTACTTGTGGGGATCTCAATTTGGGCAATTTCATGCTACATATTGCAAGAAGAACGGGGTGTGTGGCAGTATTGTTGTGCAAACCCCACTTCAGGAGTGGAAGATACTTTAAATCTCAATTGTTTTGAAAATGTTGCAATCTAATATGTTTTTGCTGTTTGTGAACATGCAAAAGGTGTCATCTACTAATTTCAGAAATTTGCCCACAAGTATTTGCCCTGTTGGATCTGGAAGGATGCATTAGTTTTGGTTAGCTTTTCCTAGTTCTTTATGACATGAATTTTGAATGACCAAGGAGTTTATATGGTGTAAGAAAGCCAAAAAAACCCACCAACCCTTGGACTGTATCTAACAGTTCTCAAGTCTTTTTCTCCCAGTTGTATCTTCTGCATGGGTACTCTTCCTGTGCAGGTGTACACACCCTTTGCAGTTTAAGAATTGCTGGCTTACTGCCCACCCCATGAACTACAAGTGCGACCAGTTTCCCTGGATGCCAGGCCCTGCTTCTCCACTGGGTGGTTTGGAGTCGCCTTCAGACTGACAGGTCACCTATCAGTGGTGCCTCTCTCAGCTGCACTTCCCTCCCCTCCCTTCTCCTTCTGGCATAATAGCATTTTTCCTTCCTGGTAGTGTTTGATCTCATCCAGTTTCACCTTTTTCCCCTTGGAAGGCCTGAGTCACTCTGAGCTTTTTTTATTGTCTGCCAAGAGCTTGCAGTAGCTTCAAGCAGCCGCGGTGCTTTGGTCCTGGTAGACCACTAGTTTTCTTCGTGCTCCGCCTTGCTCTGTGCGCTGAGAAATGTTGGGACAGAGCAGCATGAATGGTTAGTGGTGTTACTTTGATTCTGATCATCTCTATTTAACAACAAATCATCTTTACACTGAGTTGGCCTTCTCAAGATTTTATAAAACTAAGGTTGTGCCCCTGGGTAGATGTTAGAGGTGTGGGGCCAAAGAACTTGCAGACCCATTAAGTTTCAGAGTGGTACTTGAAAGCAGAGTTAAACCGAGCATAGCGACTCTGCTTGACATAAAGCGGTCTCCTATGTACTACTGGCAGTGTTGCCAGCAAAGGTTCATAGCATATCAGAGGAGATCTCTGTGTTGTGCTTCTTTGAATGAGGCGAGTTTGATTTACTTACTTATGAAAAGAACATTTCTTTTGAGACAAAATAGCTGGAAAAATGAATCAACAGACCCGTTTGTGAAGGGGTGCTTGGTCAGTAGGAGCAAAGCCTGGGAAAAATGAGTCCTACATGGAGAGGTTTTCACAACTCAGACTGGCAATACCTGCAGGAAGTTCAGAGGACAGGCAGGAGGCAAAGCAGCAGGTTCCTTCCTTACTCGGGCACTACTCTTTTTTTGTCAGTGAAGAGTCAAAGACCAGCCTTACTGTAAAAATAGCATGGTCAGCATGCAAAGCCAGCAAATTTGTCATCTCAAACACAGTTCTTGCGCAGATTCACTGAATTGTCTTTTCATTACTGGTGAATCTGGGAGGTTCAAATCACTTGCACGAGTAAAAGAAACAATAATTATTTCCATGGAGTTTTAAAAATCTCTTTTTCTAGGTGCACATAAAAGAAAAAGTGCCAGAATCAGTACCAGAAACTATCTTGTGATGGAAGAACAGGAAAAAATCAGGGAGCTGTTAATATAATTTCTTACCTCCTTTAAAGAGGTGGCCTTGATGTTAGATGTGTAAGATCATATCTCAAGAAGGAATTAAAGATGTAAACCCAAATACCATGAGGCTTTTCAAGTCTAGAAGAGCAAACTGGATGATACCTGTTGGTCCTGCATGGTTGCCTGGGATGCCAGGGGCAAGAATTTTCTTAGAAGATCTTTTGAACACAAATCATGCAGTAAACACACTCAGCAAACTTAGTGTGTTGGCGATGGGAGTGGGTAGTAGTAAAAACTAGCTGTGGTGTCTAAATGTTTAGGTTCTTCTACAGTCCATGAAAGAGGAGGTATTTTCTGAAAGGCAAGTCAGAACTGGAGGCTAATACCTGAGCGACACC